GAGAGCAACATAATAAGACTCTGTCTCAGAAAAAAAAAAATGAAAACTGCGAAGAGAGCACTCATATAGCAGAGGTTGTTATGTGTGTCAATGTACTTAGAAAAGTAGGATTTCAGCTGAGCACAGTATTTCATACCTGTAATCACAGTACTTTTGGAGGCCAATAGTGCAAGAGGATGGTTTGAGGCCAGGAGTTTGAGTCCAGCCTGAGCAATACAGTGGGACTCGATCTCTACAAAAAAATTTTTAAAAATAGCTGGTGTGGTGGTGCATGCCTGTAGTCTTACTTGGAGGCTAAGGCAAGAAGATCGCTTGAGCCCAGGAATTTAAGGCCACAGTGAGGTATGATGGAGCCACTACACACCAGGCTGGGCAACAGAGTAAGACCTTGTCTCCAAACAAACAAACAACAAAAGTGTGATTTCAGTGAATGGCTTTGTAATTATCCCATATTCATTTTTATTTGTATACATATGACCTCAGACAACCCCAGAACAGCTACTACTAAGACAAAAAATTAGTGTACAATTCCTTCCTCAGTTTGAGTCAAAGCAAGGTTTTGTCAGAGAACACCTGTATCCCTTCTAAAACTATCAGATTTTGTTTCTCTGGGATTCTAAATCATATATACCTTACATAGGGTAGGTATGCACCATACATATTTTTAGTTAATAAATATGTAAAAAATATCTATGAATGTTGCTGCTAACACTAGGCTAGAAGTTCCATAACCACCTCATTCATTTCTGGAAAAATTAAGCCCTTACTTAAGCTAACCTATTTTTTTATTTGTTTGCTTTTAGGTAGACTCTTAGTAACAAATTTAAGAATTATCTGGCACTCTTTGGCATTACCCAGAGTCAATCTTTGTAAGTATCTTTGTTAGATAACTCTAAAGAAAAAATCCTTTGTCAAGGTGAACTTAATATTGTGGCTTTCTTTCTTTCTTTTTTTTGGGGGGGGTGGAATCATACCCTCTTTGAGGGTACAAAGAGCCAGGTTACATTGCTTGCATTTGCTGGGTAAAGTCCCTCTAATAATAGTGTCCTGTCCCCAAGAGGGTGTCACATACTGTAGCCCCACACCTCCCCTTTCCTCTCTGCATAGTAGCTCTCCATACCAAAAAGCTATCCCATGAAATATATGGAAATATTAAGTTGATTAAAAACTGTAAAGATCTAGACTAACCATGGACTGCATCATAATACAAAAGAAATCATTTTTTGGTCATTTTGTGTCTTGGACATATGTGAAATTAGGGCTTTGACCTTGATTTTGCTTATCTTTGGCAATGTGCTATAACTTGTTTCAAGTAACCCCTAAGAAGGAAAATATAAGCTCTAATAAAGTACAGTTTTTCATTGTGATAAATTTTGTTTCTCTAACTTGATAAATTTTTTTTAGATTATCCAGCTAGACTTTTAATTTGGATACAGTAGTGATAAAATGTTCAGTAAATAATGCCATATAGGATTTAAAGAAACAAACTTCCTTTTTCCATGTTACATTTCAGAGATAGAATCAACTGTCTAGTTTTTTTTAATTCTTTAACTTAAGTTTGTCATTATTTCATAAAACTTTTAAAAGTTCTATGTATGTTTAATTTTTTAAATTGTTGAAAGTTGTGTATATCAAAAAAAAAAGTTCTGTATATCTCCAGGTGCTTTTTTAAAAAGTTCTATATATATGATTTTTTAAGAAAAGTATTTTTTCTCAGTTCTTTAAATTCTTGCTTTTGGATTTTAGCTATCGGTTACAACTGCATATTGAATATTACAACAAGGACTGCTAACTCTGTAAGTCTAAAACTTTTTATTGAAAACATATATAGTAAAGAAACATTAAATATTTGAAGTTGATGTTTGTTTTCACTATAAATGAGGAATTGCTCTTAAAATCTGAACTTTTCAATAACTTTGTCCTTACAGAAATTACGAGGCCAAACTGAAGCTCTTTATATTCTAACAAAATGTAATAGCACTCGTTTTGAATTTATATTTACAAATCTGGTTCCTGGAAGTCCTAGACTTTTTACTTCTGTAATCGCAGTACACAGGTACAGTAACATTTTATGGATCACTGAATATTTTTAGAATATTTTGTGACATAATAGTTTAGAAGATAAAGTTTAGAAGTATGGTACTATCTTCATCCAAGCTCTGTTGCAAATACCCTGAAGATATTGAGAAGAACACATTTCATTATCCTTTAATAAGCACTTTAAAGGTATTTATCAAACACATAAAACTACTAAAGATTCATAAAAATTTCTACTGAAGATTGGATAAAATTAGCTACCAAAGTAGGTAAAGTGAAATGAAGAATTTATTCAATGTAGATGATCTAGTTGGATAATTCAGTTAATTAATTTTAAAGATTGGTTTTTTAGCAGTAGAGAGCATATTTAGGTGTTTTCCCTGAAAAGTCATTTTATTTTGTTTTATGGGGGGGGTTGTTGATGTTTGTTATTTCTACTTTTTATAAAAAGCTTTGCTAAGACGGGCGCGGTGGCTCACACCTGTAATCCCAGCACTGTGGGAGGCTGAGGAGGGACAGTTGCTGGAACTCAGGAGTTCGAGACTCACCTGAGCAAAAGTGAGACCCTGACTCATGAAAAAAATGGAAAAACCCATCCGGGGTGCTGCGGTGAATGCCTATAATCCCAGCAGCTTCTGGAGGCTGAGGCAGCGGGATGCCCACAAGCCAGAGTCTGAGGTTGCAGTGAGCTTACCAAGCCATTTCACTCTGCTCAGGGCCATAGGGTGGGACTCTGTCTCAACAACAACAACAACAAAAAGTTTTGCTATAATGACAAGATATACATTTGTCTAATTTGTATTTCTTTTATTACTAGTGAAGTTGAAATTTTTCATGTGTTTCATAGATTTGGGGGCAGTTCTTTTTTTTTTTTTTTTTTTGAGACAGAGTCTCACTTTGTTGCCCCCAGTAGAGTGCTGTGGTGTCACAGCTAACAGCAACCTCAATCTCTTGGGCTTAAGCAATTCTGTTGTTTCAGCCTCCCAAGTAGCTGGGACTACAGGCACCTGCCGCAATGCCTGGCTATTTTATTATTGTAGTTGTCATTGTTCTTTAGCAGGCCTAGGTTTGATTTGAACCCACCAGCCCCAGTGTATGTATTTTTATTTGTTTTTTTTTTTAATTTTTTTTTTTTTTTTTTGCAGTTTTTGGCCAGGGCTTGATTGGAACCTGCCACCTCCGGCATATGAGGCCGCTGCCCTATTCCTTTGAGCCACAGGTGCTGCCCCCTATTTATTTATTTTGAGGCAGAGTCTTCTCTGTTACCCTGTGTACAGTGCTGTCATGATAGCTCAGTGCAGCTGCAAACTCCTGGGCTCAAGCAAGCCTCCTGCCTCAGCCTCTGAAGTAGCTGAGATAAGAGGCATGTACTGTAACACCTGGCTAATTTGTCTGATTTTATAGAGATGGGATCTTGCTCTTGCTCAGGCTGGTCTCAAACTCCTGAGCTAAAGCAATCCTCCTGCCTCGACCTCTCAGAGTGCTAGGATTACAGGTGTGAGCTACCACACTTGGCTGTAAATTTCTTAATTATATTCATATGTGTTATATATATTGCGAATGTTTCCTTTTAGGTTTCTAGTTTTTTATTTGATTTTTAATTTTATTTATAATGTTTTGATCTATATAATGGTTTAATTTTTTATTGAGATATAATTCACATAACAGAATTTCACATAACATAAAATTTGCCATTTAAAAATATAGTTTGGGCTTGGCTCCCATGCACAGTGGTTACAGCATTAGCTACATTACACCAAGGCTGGCGGGTTCAAATCTGGCCCAGGCCAGCTAAACAACAATGACAACTGCAACAGAAAATAGCCAGGCATTGTGGTAGGTGCCTGTAGTCCCAGCTACTTGGAAGGCTGAGGCAAGAGAATCACTTGAGCCCAAGAGTTTGAGGTTGCTGTGAGCTATGACGCCACGGCACTCTACCAAGGGTGACATAGTGAGACTCTGTCTCAAAAATAATTTTTTTTTTAAATAAATAAATAAAAATACAGTTCGGTAATTTTAGTAAGTTCACAGGACTTTACAACTATTGCCACTACTCAATTCTAGAATATTGCCATTACCCCAGAAATAAACCCCATACCCGTACCAGTTATTCTGCATTCCCTCCTCCCCATAGTGTCAGTAAGTTACTAAAATAAATGTGTAGATACTGCAATAAAATGACAAAGTGTACAGAAATCTGTAATCACTAAAACTTATTAAAAAGAAAAATAACAGCCAAGTGCAGCAGTATGGCCATAGCCCCAGCTATTTGGGAGGCTAAGGTCACTTGAACCCAGGAGTTCAAGTATAACTTGGGCAATGTACTGGTAGTAAGACCCAATCTCTGTAAAAAAATTTTTTTAATTAAAAAAAAAGAAAAATATAAATTTTTACCATAATAATTATCAGGTGATATACATAAATACTAATAATTGTCTATTGTAGTAGATAAGTAAATATAAGCTAAACAAACAACATTTTCAGTTTGGGTTGGTCTTTTGTTCTTTTTTATAGAGCATATGAAACTTCCAAAATGTATCGTGATTTTAAATTGAGAAGTGCACTAATTCAAAACAAGCAACTAAGATTATTACCACAAGAACATGTATATGATAAAATCAATGGAGTATGGAATTTATCCAGTGATCAGGTATTGTGCAAAGAACCAGTGAACCTTTTGAGACAGTGTTTTAATAATCATTTTTCATTTATCATTGGATTTGTATATTCATTCAACTCTAATTGTTAAAATTAGCATTATAGTTCTTTTTTTTTTTTTTTTTTTTTTTGAGACACAGTCTTACTCTGCTACCCTGGGTAGAATGCTGTGGTCTCATCATAGCTCACAGCAAACTCAGTCTATTGGGCTCAAGTGATCCTCTTGCCCCAGCCTCCCAAGTAACAGAGACTGCAGGCACACATCAGGATACTCAGCTAGTTTTTCTGTTTTCAGTAGAGAGAGGCTTTGCTCCTATTTAGGCTTGTCTTGAATTCCTGAACTCAAGCAATCTACCTGCCCCAGCCTTCTACAGTGTTAGGATAACAGGTGTGGACCACTGTGCCTGGCCAGCATTATAGCTCTTGTTATGAGTTAATGTTTTGGTTTTTATATTTTATGGTTTTGTGCTCTTTTTAGCACCTTTTGTTATGTATAGAATTTAGGGCTGAAATGAACCTTAGATATCATCTAATTTAGTCTTCCTTTGTTTATAGTTGAGAAACTCAAACCCCAGACAGTTAAAGTGACCTTACACATCTAATTTATTAGGCCATGCTCTTCTCCTTGTATTATGTCACACTCTACCCTTGATATATGAGCTTCTGCTGATGGAGGAGAGCCATGATGTGGATAGTAACTAAAGTCATCAAATCCAGTTTTTAGGGCACTAAACATATAACTCATTTAGTGACTCTTAAATCCATTATTATGAGTTTTTATTTGCTCCTGAAATTATGAGTAGTTGAAACCTATAAGGAATTCATAGTTAAAATAAGTAACAAATCAATTTTTGTGGCCGGGTACAGAGGCTCATGCCTGTAATCCTAGTACTCTGGGAGGCCAAAACAGGTGGATC